TCTCCTCTAAGGTCAGGAACACAACAGTGATGTTCACTGTCACCACTGTTATTCAGCATAGTGTTGGAAGTCCTAGCTTCATCAATCAGAAAACAAAAAGAAATAAAAGGCATCCAAATCGGCAAGGAGGAAGTCAAATTTTCACTTTTCATAGATGACATGACACTCTATGTGGAAAACCCAAAAGGCAGAATGAGAAATCAAGAAATCGATCCTATTTATAATTGTACCATAACCCATAAAATACCTAGGAATAAACCTAACCAAAGAGGTAAAAGATCTGTACACTGAACACTTGAGAAAGCTTCTGAAAGAAATTGAAGAAGACGCACACAAAAAAGGAAAAACATTCCATGCTTATGGGTTAGAAGACCAAATATTACTAAAATGTCTATACTACCCAAAACAATCTACACATGCAGTGCAATCCCTATCCAAATAACACCGGCATTTTTCATAGAGTTAGAACAAACAATTCTAAAATTTGTATGGAACCAGAAAAGACTCCAAATAGCTAAAGTAACATTGAAAAAGAAAATCAAAGCTAGAGGCATGAAAATTCTGGACTTCAAGCTATATTACAAAGCTGTAATCTTAAGATAGTATGGTACTGGCACAAAAACGGACAGAAATCAATGGAACATAATAGAGAACCCAGAAACGGACCCATAAATGCATGGCCAATTCATCTTCAACAAAACAGGAAAGAATACCCAATGGAAAAAAGACAATCTCTTCAGCAAATGGTATTAGGAAAACTGGGCAGTGACATGCAGAAGAATGAACCTGGACCAACTTTCTCATACCATACACAAAAATAAATTCAAAATGGATGGAAAACCTAAATGTGAGACAGGAAGCCATCAAAATACTACAGGAGAATGTAGGCAGCAACCCCTTTGACCACAGCAACTTCTTACTAGACAAGTCTCCGCAGGCAAGGGAAACAAAAGCAAAAATGAACTATTGGGACCTCCTCAAGATAAAAAGCTTCTGCACAGCTAAGGAAACAATCAACAAAACCGAAAGGCAACCGACAGAACGGGAGAAGCTATTTGCAAATGACATATTGGATAAAGGATTAGTATCCAAGATCTATAAAAAAACTTATCCAACTCAACACCCAAAAAACAAATAACCCAGTGAAGAAATGGGCAGAAGACATGAACAGACACATCTCCAAAGAAGACATCCAGATGGCTAACAGACACATGCTCAACATCACTCATCATCAGGGAAATCCCGATGTTTATAGCTGCACTGTCAGCTATAGACAAATTATGGATAGAGCCCAAATGTCCATTACCTGATGAATGTATAAAGAAAATGTGATATATATATATGTGTGTGTGTATGTATATATATATATATATATATATATATGCATACATATACACAACAGAATATTGCTTGGTGATCAAAAAATAATGAAATAACATGGATGGAACTAGAGTGTATTATGCTAAGCGAAATAAATCAGTCAGAGAAAGACAAATATCATATGATTTCACTCATATGTGAAATTTAAGGAACACAACAGATGAACATAAGGGAAAGAAAGGGAAAAATAAGATAAAAACAGAGAGGGAGGCAAACCATAAGAGACTCTTAACAATAGAGCACAAGTTGAGGGTTGCTGGAGGGAGGTGGTGGGGGGATGGGCTAGATGGGTGATGGGCGTTAAGGAGGGCACTTGTTGGGATGAGCCCTGGGTGTTATATGTAAGTGATGAATCACTGGGTTCTACTCCTGAAACCAACACTATACTGTATGTTAACTAACTTCAATTTAAATAAATAAATTTTTAAAAAATAAAGATTTATGCAGCAACCACAATGTGAGATAAAAATATATATGATTTGTATGGGTGACAAAGCCATGGGAACTACTAATACCATGGTGGTTTGTTGCCTTACATCCTGAATTCTGAATTCTAGAAAATTCTCAATTCTAGTTAGAATTTAATAAAAATAGAAATGTAATTTTTCTCATTCAGGTTTAGATGCGAAGCCTGGATATCATGAAAACTATCCGCTGAGGTCTGTCCTTTTGGAGACAGGACACTTTCCTGAATTAGAGGACTTTCACCAGTCTGGTGGAGGCTTTCCTTGACGGTTGGGTCAGAGGTAGTACCAGAAATGGAAACAAAAACAAAACAAAAAGAAAACCTAACGGATGAAGTTGAATCTTGACACAGTGGTGTTAACAAGGAGCATAAGTGATTTGGAGAAAAACGTCCCCAATTGTATCATGAACCACTCCAGCTGCCTCCTTGATTCCCTTAAGATATAAATTTGATGTAGTATAAAGTATCTTTGCATCACCAGTCCTTGGATTTAAAGTTTTCAAGAAATACTTTAACAATGTGTGTTGGAGTTTATTCTCCTTTATTGGATGATATGCAATTGAGGGGAAAAAAGCATAAAAATATAAAAAAAGATTAGGTTTAAAATAATATGCAGAGGTAGAATACATATAGAATCTATGCTTTCAGAAATAAAAGCTATAAAGAGTCAAAGTAAATTTAGGGTGGCATCTGCTTGGTCTTCTGAACAAAATGACAACAGATTATAAAAAAAGAAGACATGAAATGAGAAGATAATAGAATGATATGAAAGTGGTTTAAGGAGGGGTGCCTGGGTGGCTCAGTCTGTTGAGCATCTGACTAAGGCTCAGGTCATGATCTCACGGTTCGTGAGTTTGAGTCCCATGTTGGGCTCTGTGCTGACAGCTCAGAGCCTGGAGCCTGCTTTGGATTCTGTGTCTCCCTCTCTCTCTCTGTTCCTCCTCTGCTGTGCTCTCTTTCTCTTTCTCTCTCAAAAATAAATAAAGATCTTTAAAAAAAGTGCTTTAAGGAAACTCAAAAATGTCACTGAATATTTTAAAATGTCACTATAACTAAAAAAAATAAAATATAATAAAATGTCATGATAACTAATAAATAGGAGTCTTAACATTGCCAAAAATTCACCGTATTTTACAGAAAATAATTTTGAAAGACTTTCCCAAAAATAACAGGCAATAGACAATGCCAAAAAAAAAAAAGATAATAAGGCCACCTAGTCAAGATACTTGATACAAATAATTTATATTTCTGAATTAGAAACCAAAGAAGTGGAACAGAATCCATTTTAAAATCTGTAATAATAGACACATTCCTGGAACTGAAGAATCAAATCCTCACTTTGAAAGACCTCACTGTCAAACAATCGAAATAATAAAAAGAAAACATTACCCAGGCATAACATGATGACTGGTTTTCATTAAGTAGCAATTCTAAAAACATTTAAGAGAAAAGAAACATTATTGTTAAGGGGTTATTTAACGACACCAACAAACAAAATAAGGGTAGCCTCAGGTTTTGAACTTTGAATATCAGTATCTACTTCTCAAGAGTCATGAAGTTAAAACTGTGAGTTAAAAAATCTAATCCAATCCTATCCGCTATTCATGTGTTCTACTTAGCAACAGAGTTAAATCCTTAAAAATGTTAAGTTTCATGTAAAAAGAAAGAAGAAATTACTAATGGAAGTGATTTAGCCAATGAAGAGAAGAAACAAAGTTCAACATGAGGGAAGTCATAGTTTAAAAGGATTTTTAGGGGATTTAGGTGGACAGAAACAAAGTAAATTATAGCTCAGAAGCATCAGAATTATATATATATGTATTAAAGCATATATATAATTAAGCATCAGAAGTAAATGCTATTCTTTCTTGAGAAGTCTAGCAAAGAACCAATAATTGTTTTAAAATTTTTTTTAATTTTACATTTATTTAATTTTGAAAGACAGAGTGAGACAGGACACAAGTGGTGGACAGGCAGAGAGAGAAGGAGACACAGAATCTGAAGCAGGCTCCAGGCTCTGAGCAAGCATTCAGCACAGAGCCCGATGCGGGGCTTGAACCCATGAACCATGAGATCATGACCTGAGCCACAGTCAGACACTTAACCAACTGAGCCACCCAGGCACCCCAGAACCAACAAATTTTTTTAAAAATAGCCCAAACGTCAGAAGTAGATGCCATTTTTTTCTTGGGAAGCCAACAGAGAATCTGAACTTGGGACAGATGGTTTGGTCAGGCCCGTCCCCATCAGCACCCCCATCCCTTGTGTATGCAGAATAATAGTGGGCTATGCCTCTGGGCAAAGACCCAAGAACTGCTCTCTAGAAGCAATGGGGGATTCAAGAGCCTGAGGAACAGAATGGAGGCTAACTGCAGATGCCCACAGTAGATGAGACAGAAAAGGGAGGATCAAGGAAAGAGCGTGGAGGAAAAGCAGCTCTCTCGGGAAGTAAATGCAATGAAGAGCTCTCTCCTGGGCCAAGTACTCTTCACCATGGCGACTGGAGGTGAGGATTCCCCACCCTGGCTGCTTACCACTCCGAAGTCCTAGAGGGAGGTCTCTCTATCTACCGATAGAGTTCACATCCAGATGTCCCATCCAGAGAGGTATCAGGAGGTACAACAAACACAAAAACATACAAAGAAAACCCATGCAAGCTAATTCGAGTCAGCCTAATCCCACATTCAACAAGGGTCCCATATTCTGAAGAAAAAAAAAAAACAGCACAGTGAAATAAGAGACAGGGTGAAAGACAAATCAATCAAACTCAAAAGAAATAGAGATGATTCAAGGGACAGCAGTGAACCTACAAAAATAACCGAAGCCAGATTCTTAGAGAGTTTTATGAGGATTCTATATCTACACATTAAGCCAAGCCCGCTATGAAAATAGAATAATCATAAAGTGAGAAAATGGGGGAAATTAAAATAAGATTGCAACTCTAAAATTTGAGGAGATCTTTTTGTATGTCGAGCAGGAGCATAAGGACTAGAAAATATGATTGAAAAGTTGTTAGAAACCTTGAAGATTAATATTTTAGATTCAATATTTATGGAACAAGAATCCCAAGAGGAGAGAAAAAAAGGCGACGAAATCTAATGTACTACGAACTACAAGCTTGGAAGAGGAGAGCAAGACGCGTAATGTTACCTACGGAAGACCACTGTGGAGTCATCACAGTCAGGAGGGGCCCATCCTTCTTTGCACTGACACTGGAGCTCATGGTCACACACCTAGACAAGCAGTGATCCTGTCAGTTTCCACACTAGGCTGACCACCAACCCAAGGAGCCTGTTCATCCGTTCAGAAGGACTAACCCCTGCTCTGCACCCTTGCAACTACCTCCGTAGTGTATGGATCCATCATGGGAATTTCAATACCAGATGCTTGGAAGAAAATTTTTTTCATCGAACCAAACTATTGAGTGGTTAGGCAGACTTAGTATCACTCAGAGCTGAAACGGTACTTTAGCATCGTCAGGACTGACCCGAACTTCCAAAAGATTCGGCGAGCTTGGGGAAACGTTTTCAAAACTTACGGCATGCCCTCTGCACTTGGAGGAGCAGTTGGTCGATTTGTAGGCTCTTTCGATATCCACACATTCTGCATTAATGCAAACCTGAAAGCGATGTGAAAAAAACACTGAGTTCACATCAATCCCCGATGGCTTCAGTTCTGCAAATTGCTCAGCCTTTGGAATTTAGTCTTATATTATTAGCCACTACTATTGTTATCAAACTTACCTTTTTAAAAATTTTTTAAAATTATTATTTTTTTTTATTTTGAGAGAGAGAGAGAGAGAGCACAAGCGGGGGAGGGACAGAGAGAGAGGGAGACCCAGAATCCCAAGCAGGCTCCAGGCTCCGAGCTGTCAGTGCAGAACCCAATGCGGGGATCAAACCCACAAGCCGTGAGATCATGACCTAGGCCAAAGTTGAATGCTTAACCGACTCAGCTACCCAGGTGCCCCCAAACTGACCTTTTTATTAGGGAAATCACAACATTCTTTTGCAAATAAGAATATGGGATCTAGATAATATTTATTTTAAATATTTAGAAAGTTCTCTAGAGAATATTTCCTTATTTGACTTCATTCCTCATGGGTCATTCTGTTCATCTACCCCTTCAGTCCACTCCTGAGACAAATATTTAGCACTGAGCTAAGCATTGCACATGATACAAGGCACCCATTCCAAACAAAAACATTATGGAAAGCGTGTTAATATCATGTCATCTGGAATATTCAAACAATTTTCATTTATCTAAAAATGAGTAGTATTTTTATTATTCTCTTTATTGTTATCAGAATGGCTTATAATTTATTGAGACCCTACTGATTTGGAGGCAATAAAATTTACCTAGGTTTAATAACCTAGTACTAAGCACATAATAGTTGCTTGTTAAATAGTATTGACGGGGTGAATGTAGGCATGCATAAAAGAATGGCGTAAGTATTGCTTTGAAAACTGTCCTCCGTGGAACAGAAGGAGGCCTTGAGTAGCAAACATCAAGACAAAAAAACAAGACCAAAGAACATTTTGATTAAAAGCTACACTTTCAACTTACCTTCCTGTGTCCACACTTAGTTCCATTAGCTACCATGCCTATATCTGGACTGCTGTCGTCAGGATCGAACATTTTACAGGTCAGGAAAGTTACTATATGTCCTCTCCAGGGCAAATTATCTGACCCACCTTGGCAGAACAACTTCCCACACAGGGCATCACTGAGGAAAAGCCAAAATTTGCTGCGGTTAAAATACCAGGATCCACATTACAGTTTTCCCCAAATGTAACACAGTTCCCTATCGGTATTTAATTAATGGCATGTCTCCCTAGAGTAGAGATTCCTAGTTCTCCTTTGTATCAAAGTTCCCCTTGTTCTTCGGTAATAGAACTAGTGAATAGTAACAAGAAACACTGCTACTCAAAAACAAAAAAACAAAACACAACAAAATCCTGATTTCCCAGGTTCTCGGGCAGCTAATTTTTGGCCAAGTGCCTAACTAAGTTCCGGCCAACTGCAAGAAAGCAGGATCTTGCGTGCAAATTCTTGCAGGTGACCTTACGTGAAAGAATATGTCTTATTCCTCATTTTTCCTCATTTTGGCTTATTGGAATGCAGTGGCTGGAGCTGGAGAAGCCATGACAGACCAAAAGAAACACTTGGGAATAAAGGTCATTTTCAAGATAAAGGAGAATGGACTTGTAACATCATGAAGGGCACACAGGGAGTCTGTTTCTATTTTGTTTCAGCTAAGGTACTTTTTTTTTTTTACTTAATTTATTTGGAGAGAGACAGAGACAGTGTAAATGGGGGAGGGGCAGAGAGAGAGGGAGAGAGAGAGAGAGAGAGAGAGAGAATCCCAAACAGGCTCCGTGCTGGCAGCACCGAGCCTGATGCGGGGCTCGAACCCACGAATCGAGAGATCATGACCTGAGCGGAAACCAAGAATCGGACGCTTAACCAACTGAGCCAACCAGGTGCCCTAAGGTTACTTCTTATTTTCATGAATTGCACTGAGGAATTCTCCCCACTGTAACTGTGTCTATCTACGGCTGAGTCTTGGGTGGCATGCAAGGCATCGTGTGTGGTTACTGGAAGAACTATCTCCCTGCAAATAAAGATGAAACAGCTCAGCACTCAGTAAAACCATCCACTTACTGCCAAGGTGAGTAAAGTCGATGCCAATAAAATTGGACTCAATTGCTTCATGCAGAATTCAGAGGAGGGCTCGGAAAAACTATTCTGAGAGTGACAGAATCAGATTCTTCTGATGCTTCTGGTAGCTGTGAGGAAATGTGACTGCGGAGTGGAGAAAGGCATACATTCTCTCCAAAACGGAGAAGGTGTTTTTCTGGAGTCACTTTATACAGAAGGCTCTAGAGCACAGAGAATTCCAGGCGTAGTCTCCACTACAGCCAATGACTACTCAGAAGTGACTAGGAGGTCGGGCCGCGGAAAGAATGATACGTTTGTGCCGCTAGTTGCGGAAATGACCCAGTGCTCATACAAACGGTTATACAGGACAATAGCGTGCGCACATGCTCATAGGGAAACGGAGCTACTCTGCTCTCTTTCGCACCCGCTACCTCACAAACCACACGTTGGTCCCCCCAAAACACATACACATTTCTTTTTACATAATTGTCTTCCCTTTTAAATCTGTCCCGATTTCTTATAAAGGAGAGACCACCCGGACCCCCAAGAGATGATACTAGTCCAAAATACAGTTTGGTAATATTTATCATCTAGAACAATTATTGTTTAATAGAAAAGCGTTGAGAAATGTTAACCTTCTTCAGTCTCTTGCTATGCAGTACTTAGTGTGTGTAAAATCTGGAGCAGGTACTAAGTTTAATCTGTGATAATTTGAATTTTAAAAGTCATCTTAAAACTGTGGAATTAAAAAAAGATCTTATACAAAAATCTGAAGTCCTGGGGCACCTGGGTGGTTTAGCCAATTAAATGTCTGACTCTTGATCGCGGCTGAGGTCATGATCTCACAGCTTGTGAGTTTGAGCCTCACGTTGGGTCTGCACTGATAGCATGGAGCCTGCTTGTAAATCTCTCTCTCCCTCCTTTTCTGCCCCTCCCCCACTCACTCTCTTGCTCTTTCTTTCCAAATAAATAAATAAACATCAAGAGAAATTTCAAGCCCATTGCTTGTGATATGCTAGAATTTTTCCCACCAGAATATCAATACAAAAAGTAAAACAAATTCTCCAGATGAACTGTCGATCTTTTCTTACTGTATTTTTTTCTTTCTGTAATACCATGGCAAGTTTTTTTTTCAATATATGAAATTTATTGTCAGATTGGTTTCCATACAACACCCAGTGCTCATCCCAAAAGGTGCCCTCCTCAATGCCCATCACCCACCCCCCCTCCCTCCCACCCCCCATCAACCCTCAGTTTGTTCTCAGTTTTTAAGAGTCTCTTATGCTTTACCATGGCAAGTTTAAATAAAACTATATAAGCATTATATTGGTTATTCTTCTGAGTAGATAAATATCTCTACTCCTTGAATCATAATGAAAGACTTAGGTGGAAAAGCACCTAAGGAATATTATTAAATCCACGTATAGATTTCCAGCCAGGCCCATTCACTGCTGCATGTCTCATCCAAACATCCACTCTATTTAACAACGACTGTACTCAATGTCATCTGAAACACCGGCCATGAGGGACTGGAAAAAAGAGATCATTTCTTATTTGTCTTTTTAACTCAGTCGGTAGCCTGAAACCCTAGCACATAATAGTCACCTAATGGATGCTTTCCAAATTCACTTTCTGTTTAACTGGAATGAATCAGAATGTGTGTCTGGAAGAGAGTGAGTCCCCTAGTCTGTGGAGCAGGAAGGTTCAAACAACAAGGCCACTTACTTTGTTTTGCAGGGAATACGTGTGTCATCCACTTTGCGACAGTACCCATACCTCGACCCACCTTCATTCCTGCTGTAACACGATTTATCTGCAACGCTGGTCCCTGGAACCAGGCATGGTCAGCAGGGACATATTAGAAAAGAAAAGAGATAAGGCGTTCGATGCCACAGAGGGTTCATGAAACGTCAAATTAATGAAATCCATAGCATGAGAAGAACTGTTAGGGCATAATCCCATTGACCCTTGTCAGAAATACAGGCTGCAATAATTTGTTACTAAGAAAGCTGGTTAGAATTTAAAATAATGTTTTAAATATTTATTTTTTGAACAATGGATAGCTACACATTTGGAAATATGGCTGACATGCTTAAGATTAAGAAAACTCCATCTAAATGTAAAGACTTAATTGGAGAGCCACAATCATTGCATTAACAACCCACAGGCAGACATTGGAATGCTCTCCTGGTAATACTTGCCAGGAGAAATACCATTTCTTACAATGTTTAGCCAAACTGCTTTGTGCACGCGCAACAATAAGCATCACGTATTTCATTTCTCATGTAATCTTTCTTAGAGCCCCATCGGATGAGCAATAGAATACAGGGGTTCAGGGTTCAGGAGCTAAATCGCAGCTGTGTGACCTTGGCCAAGTGCCTTAACCTCTGGGTTTATCTGTAACTCAACTCACTGTCCATGCCCTTCCTGAACAATGTCCAAGATGATAAAATGAGTTTTATTACCGTATTTTCTTAGTTGTTTGGTCTCAGTAACATTTACAGGCTCCTTGTTATTTAATAAAATAAAATACCTACACTGAGAAAAGTGAATAACTAGGCCTGGATAATAAGGAAAAGCAGATTCCTAATCCCAAGCTTCAGAGGTCTTGGTGCTAATGTTGTGGAAGGGATCATTCATACTCCCGGTACACGCTGCTTCCCAATTAACAATACACTTGTCCTTTCCCCAATGACTGCATATTCTGCAGAATCATAGCTATAAAAATTGCATTGCATAAATATTATATAATTTATTTTCACTCATGCTTACTCTTGGACTTTGAGATGTTTCCCAATTACCCATTATAATTTTTTTAAAGAGTGCTGGCTGAAAAATCCTTTGTAAACCAATATTCCTGAACACGATTCCCGGGGAAAGGCGTGCATTTTCTTTTTAGATTCCACATACATTTTTCCAATTCTTCCTGGAAAGACTGTGCTAACTCGTGTTCTTACCAGACTATAAAACTGGGTGTTGTGTCACAGCTTCACTGAAACTGAGCCTTAACTGTAGAAAAGCTTTGCCAATTTGACAAACGTGGAAGGAATCAACTTTTCGTTCCTGTTTCTTACTATATTTATGTCTCCTGACTCATTAATGTGTCAGTAGTTCTACTTCTCGCTGGTGAGTTAAGATGATTTTAATGTTCTTTAGATGATTGTACTTCTTTATGACAAATTGCCTATTAATGCCTGGGCCACATTTCTAATATTTGGAACGGCAACTGACTTACAGAAATGATTTGATATTGAATAGTGATCTCGAGACCTCCTTATATATATGCTATAGACTTTTCAAACTTTGAAAATTAATTTGAAATAAATTTGTGAGCCCTTATGAACGACAAAATTTGGAATTTCATTGCGGCACATCTGCTTCTCTGGTCTTTTATAAGGGCTGCCTTTGAATGTATGATTTAAAAGATCTCTCCTATTCTAATATCAGATAAATATGTTCCACATTGATTCAATAATTTTGAACGTTTACTAAAGTCAGGCAATGTGTTAGGACCCCCTGGGAACACAGTTGTGAACAAAATACATAGTGTCTAGGTGCTGGGAAATTTACAGATTCGCAGGTGAGGCAGATAGTGAAGGGTCGGGCAAAAGGACCATGTAAAAGCATTTACTGCAGGGTTTTGTCCCCAGATAGTAAAGGGGAAGCTCAGAGCCTCACCTCTGTGCTCAAGTTTTCTTTCCCCAGGTTTCTGCTATATACTGACGTCAGCCAAGGAAGCCATGTTTCTTTAACCCGCAAACCCATACTTGTTTCCACCTGTAATTTCGCATTCGTGTCCGCCTGACCTGTGATCGGGAGGTTTGCTGAGGCCGGAATCCAGGGGTCAGCGCACTTCCTGAGGCACCAGGGGTATCCAGTGTTCTCGTCAAACTGTGTCTCAGCCCACCCTTGCCTGATCCAAAGGGTTTTATTCAGGAATTTTTTTCTAAGTTCTAGTGCATGTATTTCTCAGGTTTCTTTCTTTCGTTTTCTTTTTCTCTTTGACCGGGTGTGTTGTAAATCAGCGATCGATGTTGCTTTCCTTTCTCTTGTTTTATGTATATTTTCAGGGATTATGAAAAGTTCCTGGCATGTGGTAGCCCTCGTCAAGTATTTTTAGGAAGACGTATTTCCCCTGTTTAAAAAATTCCTTCAGCCACTTAGGTAAGAATCTGGAAGTGTTGCAGAGGAGGGTATGAAAATTAAATATACATGCACACTGGATATCCTATGCAGAAAGTCCGGAGAACTGATATTTTTAAAATTGCCTTTCTGATCAATCTGTTGAGCACAATGGAAGTTTCAGTTTATAGTTTTGGAGATTAAGTTATGCTTTTATTTTTAATTTATTTTTATGGCGTAATCAGAGAATATGTCTTCTAAAATTCCAGTATGACGGACAAAACGGACATTCAAGAGATTTGGTTTTCCCAGATTGCTCCTCTGCATTCCCACAGCCCTTCTTCTCTTTTCTTCCCCTTTCCTTGTACTCTGCCCATCTCCCGGCACACCGCTCCCCCCACCTCCACAGACTTCCAGGGGTGTACTCATCTGAGAAGGATCTTGATCAGGGTTTCCAGATAAAGCACAGGATACCCAGTGAAATTTATTTTTCTTTTAAGTTTTTATTTAAATTCGAGCTAGTTAACATAGTTGCAATGTTAGTTTCAGGTGTACAATATAGCGAATCAACGCTTTCATACGTCACCCAGTGCTCATCACAAGTGCCCTCCTTAATCTCTATCACCTCTATTACTCATGCCCCCCAACCCCCTCTGGGAATCATCAGTTTGCTCTCTTTAGCTACGAGTCTGTTTCTTGGTTCACCTCCCTCTTTTTTTTCCCTCTTTGTTTTGTTTCTTAAATTGCACATGTGAGTGTGCTTGCTGGAGCAGCACACATACTAATATTGTAACGATACAGAGATTCACATGGTCCCTGTGCAAAGAACACATGAATTCCACATGAGTGAAATCATATGGTATTTGTCGTTCTCTGACTTCTTTCACTTAGCATTATACTCTCTAGCTCCACTCATGTCATTGCAAATGCCAAGACCGCATTCTTTTTGATGGCTGAGTAAAATTCCATTGTGCGTATGGGGTGTGTGTATATATATATATATTAACTGGGCTATATATATATATATACACCCTCCACACACACACCATATATACATACATATATATCATATATATATATACACCATATATATATATACACCATATATATACCACATCCTATATGTATATACCACATATATATGTGTGTGTGTATATATATATATACCACATCTATAAGTATATACGTATATACTTATATGTATATACATCACATATGTGTGTGTGTGTATATATATCTGTGTATGCACACACATATATATACACACACACCACATCTTATCCATTCATTATTTGAGAGACATTTGGACTGCTTCCATATCTTGGCTCTTGTAGATAATGCTGCTATAAACATCAGGGTACACGATCCCTTTGAATTCGTCTCTTTGTATTCGTTGGGTAAATACCTAGTAGTGCAATTGCTGGATCATAGGGTAATTTGATTTTTAACTCTCTAAGGAACCTCCATACTGATTTCCAGAGTGGCTATACCAGTTTGCATTCCCACCAATAAGGCAAGAGTGTTCCCGTCTCTCCGTATCCTTTCCAGCACCTGTTGCTTCTTGTGTTGTTGATTTTAGCCATCCTGACAGGTGTGAGGTGATATCTTATTATAAACTTTGATTTGTATTTCCCCGGTGATGAGTGATGTTGAGCATCTTTTCATGTCTCTGTTGTCATCTGGATGTCTTCTTTGGAAAAAAGTCTATTCATGTCTTCTACCCGTGTTTTAATTGAATTATTCATTTTTTCGGTGTTGAGTTTTGTAAGTTCTTTATGCATTTGGGATACTAACCCATTACCAGATATGTCATTTACAAATATCTTCTCCCATTCCAGTGGTTGCCTTTTAGTTTTGTTGACTGTTTCCTTCTCTGGGCAGAAACGTTTTATTTTGATGAAGTCCCAATAGTTTATTTTTGCTTTTGTTTCTCTTGCCTCCAGAGACATATCTAGAAAGAAGCTGCTACAGCCAATGTCAAAGAGGTTGGTTCCTTTGTTCTCCTCTAGGATTTTTATGGTTTCAAGTCTCACATTTAGATTTTTAATTCATTTTGAATTTACTTTTGTGTATGGTGTAAGAAAGTGGTCCAGTTTCATTCTTTTGCATGTTGCTGTCCAGTTCTCCCAACAACATTTGTTGAAGAGACTGTCTTTTTCCCATTGGCTATTCTTTCCTGCTTTACTCATTAAATCTGAATTTCAGATAAACCAAGTTTTCTTAGTATAAGTCTACTTCAAATATTTCATGAGACATACTGATACTAAAAAACATTGTTAATCTGAAATTAAAATTTAACTGGGCCATCCTTATTTTTGTTTGCTGAATCTAGCAGTCCCCAAATTGACCATATGTCTTAAAAATGCACTTATCCCGGATTCTGAGCGGATGCACCATTTCTAAGAAAGAAGACTGGGACAGAAGACTACTTTGGCCATAATTAAACACTGTTGCCCGTTATAATACGATTTTTCCTTGCGTGCGCAGAGAGAGAGGCAGGAATGCCCGCAACACGGGGGTCTGCCCTCCTACCTGGTCCCCACAGCTCGGTGCACTGCTCCTGAAGAGTGGGGCACATCCCCATCAAACAGTAGCCCTTCCCATTTTGACAAGGGAAGCCGTTGATTCGGTATCTATCATCAGGGCAAATACCAGATTTGCCATCACACATTTCTGACAGGTCACACTCATCTTTTGCTGGTCTGCACACTGCACCAGGCTTTTTAAGCTGCAGGGGAATAAAAGTGAAGAGAAGTTGTGTTGTTGTTTTTTTTCCCCACCTGACTTACCCTAATATCTCAAATTGATGCGCATAATCTTTTCCTTTTGGCCTTTTTTTGGGGGGAAAGGAGTTGCCTTTCGGTAAGATAGAATGATGCTTACATTTGCATTGTATAAACTAAAGACATCTATCGTATCACTTCTATTGACTGTGCCCAATGGCCGGAGTCCTTAAGTAATCAACATTTCCGAATTTATAATGCAAGCACTATAGAAATATCAATGAGAAAAATACACAAGAAAACCAAGCCTCATCTTAAATGCAAAGAAGGGATTTATCTTTTCCTTTACCGAATGCATCTTTGTCAAGATTTTCAAGATTTAAATGTGCAACTTCAGAGATGTATTGGTGAAGTGAACCTTCTGGATTAAAGAAAATAAGTTTTTACAAGCACCAGATCAGCATGCTCTGAGACTTTCCCAGGCGTCATGTTTCCTAATCCTTAATTCCTCTCATTGTATGCTCAAATATTTCTTTTCAACTCACTTCTTCCTATGAAATGACTTATTGTGGAGAAGAAATAACCGGATGCACATTTGATGTGTTAACTGCATCGCCATCTATTATTGCAAACCTTGGTCTTACTTCCTCAGAGAAATCATAGTCAAACCAATTCTGCCATTTATGCAAATCTGAGGAAGGCTGTGAGGACACTCGAGGCATCTCTTTCCCTAGGTGAGGTGAGCAGGCATGCTCCCCTATCATCAGAAAACTTTCAAAATCTTTACAGTGATGATAGAATGGAATCCAAAATTTAATAAGAGCATACGAGACCCTCCAAATTCAACCCCCACTGCTCCAGCCAGACTCACTTTCTTACCAGCTGTCCCCTGAGCCACACTTATACCTCCTGTTCTATCTTTATTCTTTCCCTCAGTCTCCTCTTTTGGGGATTTTTTTTTTTTCTTTCTGTCTGCTATCTAAAATCTACACATTACTTTAAGACTAGCGACAGCCTCATTTTTCCATGAAGCCCCCTCTGTCTTCTTCAGTGCACAACGCAGTCCTTCCTTTCTACGCAGGGTGGGAAGAACTTTAAATTTGGATTTGGAAGATACGGGTTTGAATCTTGGTTCTGCCAGGGGCTAGGTGCTGAAAATGGACTTCATCACTCTGAAAACCCAATTCCCTTTCTAATACTGCCTTTACAGAGCCATTATGAAAATTAAGTGAAAAGCTACACAAAGGGCATGTATCTTTATAACGTCTACCTGGGCATTTAATCATGCACGGTATTTTCATATGTTTCAGGTATGTATGTCATTACCCTAAAGAAACAGCATGTTCTTTGAAGTCAAAGACTACTTTTTTTTTTTTTTTAATTTCCCACAATCTCTAACAAATAGCCCTTATTCAACGCTTGTTGAAAACTACTTATGTTCTCAAGTTTTCTTCCTTTTGGTCTCTTTTCTTTCTTTCTTCTCCCTCTGATATTAAAAGAAACCAATCTCTCCCAAATACTACCCACAATCTGGTACGTTATAACTCTACACATTCCTTCTAAGAACAGTTTTTGAGCATTTAAAATGCATGAAACTCTGTGCTAGGCGAGGATGAATCAGCCCCCTGCCCTTTGGAGTCAATCTAACTAAGGAAAGAGACACATAAACAAATAATCATAATAGAGAATCCTATGCAACAATGGAATGTAAAATTCTAAACTTGAACCTGAAAGGAAAGTCAATGAGCCCCACAGAGAAAAGGACACAGAATCCTTTATATCTGTTTTCCAAGAATTTCACCCTGAAGTGACTTCTAAGTGTCAAGATAGGGGAGACTCCACAAGATTTAAAATAAAAGCTTTTCCACCAAAAGAAATATGCAACCAATTATGAGGTTTGGTGCCAGAAGGCCCTTCATCAGAAGCAGTGGCAGGTAGGAGTCCCCAGCTTTGGCTTTGGAACTGATAGTTTGGAGTTTGCCAATTCAGTGGCGCTATTATCTTACACGTTCTCTATTCTGAACCTCTATTCCCTCAAAAGCAAAATGAGATGATAATATCTAACTCAAAAGGTTGTTGGAGAATCGAATAGCCTGTATTTGTAAAGCACTCATATATAAATGGTAAGCAGCGTTACTTTATAGACAGAAAACTAGCGCTCTGCTATTTTATTCAACGTAATCTCGGAGATTTTTAATATAGAAAAATACGCAGTATTTAATTATTAAAAGAGAATAAAGTAATAATCTTACCTGGCACTTTTCACAGCATTCTCCTGATGCACATTGAAAACTTGCTTTGATTTTACAAGTTTTAGCATCACAGCAAATGTTGGTACATTCCTAAGAAATACCGGAAATAAATACAAATGCTGGTTTGGGCCTCAAATTTTGCTCTCATTTCATATTAAAAAAAAAAAAATTTAATGTTTATTTATGTCTGAGACAGAGAGACACAGAGCATGAGTAGGGGAGGGGCAGAAAGAGAGGGAGACACAGAATCCGAAGCAGGCTCCATCCAGGCTCCGAGCTGTCAGCACAGAGCCCGACGCGGGGCTCGAACTCACCACGAGATCATGACCCAAGCTGAAGTCGGACGCTTAACCAACTGAGCCACCCAGGCGCCCCTATTTTCATATTAATTCAAAATATTATTTGTTCATCACATAAACTCTACTTTGGTACAGTCTGAATATAATTTTCATGAAAATAAAAGAACAAAATTTAACATTAAAAAAACAGATTTTGGAGCCACTGGTGATTTGTCATGACCTGAATGCTACTGACACCTTCTTTCTTTAATTTGAATATCTCTTCTAGTTTGCTCAGCCTCCCATTATAGTACTGCAAGTGATCTATTTTTAGTAAAATATGAATGAAAACAAAAGAAAAAGGGACAATCTTTTAAAATAAAATTTATCGGGGTGCCTGGGTGGCTCAGTTGGTTAAGCGTCCAACTTCGGCTCAGGTCACGATCTCACAGTTTGTGGGTTTGAGCCCTGCGTCGGGCTCTGTGCTGATGGCTCAGAGCCTGGAGCCTGCTTCGGATTCTGTGTCTCCCTCTCTCTCTGCCCCTCCCCTGCTCGTGCTCTGTCTCTCTCTGTCTCAAAAATAAATAAAACATTTAAAAAAATAATAAAATAAAATTTATCTAAATAATTAAAAACATAATTAGTTGAACTCATGAACCTACCCAGCAGTAAGTTTAATCTCCAGGGCAGACACTAAAAAGCTAAAAGTATAGTTCTTTATCTAAGTTTGACACTTAATCCAACTCTGTGTTAAGCAATAGACTTTGTCTTGCTCTCCCCACCTTGCTTCTAGGAAATCAGATACCTGCATAAGGTTTTGGGGAAATTCCTACCTCAGAAAGTTCCCCTTATAGCTGCTTAGTATCCCTAAGATATATTTAGAGTTACAACTTGTTAGGGTTAAAACTCTCACCCTTCTTTCTTTCTTTTTTTTTTTTTTAACGTTTATTTATTTTTGAGACAGAGAGAGATAGAACATGAACGGGGGAGGGTCAGAGAAAGAGGGAGACCCAGAATCCGAAGCAGGCTCCAGGCTCTGAGCTGTCAGCACAGAGCCCGATGCGGGGCTCAAACCCACGAACTGCAAGATCGTGACCTGAGCCAAAGTCGGACGCTTAGCCTCCTGAGCCACCCAGGCGCCTCTACCCTTATTTCAAATATACACATCATCTTGGAAAGATTCTGCTTTCTCACAGAATGAATAAATTTATGGTCATATTTTGAAGTTACTGAAAAGCTGACCCCTCGAGGGCTTGACATGCTACTCATGTTAAGTTTCACAAAATGGGGGCAAAGGTCCCATTCAGAACCCTAGCTGCCAAGTCAATAGGGTGGGATCAAGCCAGGACTCCTAACGATAAAAACTCTTCAGTCCCAAAGGGAAGAACTCAATCCCAGGGCAGGGTGGTTCTGGAATTGCTGACACAAACACCTGGGTCCACGTCTCGGCTCCTCCCTTCACCAGCTCTGTGACCTTGGCCAAGCTATTTGCACTCTGAGCACTATCACGGTGCTGTGCCTCAAGTAACCGCTCAAGAGGTCGTAGGCACATAGGAGCCATTAAGTATGTCTGCCAGATGGGAGGGAAGAGAGTACAAAACTCAATTGTTGATTGTTCTTAAAAAAAAAAAAAAAAAGAAAAAGAAATGGGGAAGGAACCCCAAGATGGAAAGTAGGAGGTCTTTTAAGCAATGCATCATTCATTGTTAGAAAAGCCGGCCTGAACATATGCAAAATTATAGAAACACACAATTTCAGAGTGAGCCTGCGTAATACAGGTTTACGGTTTATCTTCTTAGCAATTGACAAACACATTCGATCATTTTAGAACGTACTTGGTTGGGGGCGCCTGGGTGGCTCAGTCAGATAAGTGTCTGACTCTTGACTTTGGCTCAGGTCTCACGAACTGTGAGATCGAGCCCCATTTCGGGCTCCTCACTGACAGGGCAGACAGAGCCTGCTTGGGATTCTCTCTATCCCTCTCTCTCTCCCCCTCCCCTGCTCACACTCTTTCTCTCAAAATAAATAAATAAATAAATAAATAAACAAACATTATTTTAAAAAACCACAGAGAGTACTTGGTGGTACCTCGGGAGTCCCACAATCACAGTCTTCTCCAATTTCTACCAACTGGTTCCCACAGATTGGGGTGGATATGATATCTGTAGGCAATGGAACATTGAGGACGCAATTTGATAATTTATCTTCAAAGAACTTATCATAGCTGACACGGCTGCAGGAACTGAAGTCTGTAGGAATATAGAAGCTGTGAAGGCAAGGAAGAAGAGAATGAAACACAGTCATGCTGAGCATGAAGGGAGCAATGTCACACATTGGGGATGATATACCCCAAACCTTCCCCAAGAGATGAAATCCAATCCAGTGCCCAATGGCTAAATCATGAGCTCATTTCTGTGCCTAAATTAGCCCTTCCGGATGGACACAAATACCTCCAACTTTTAAAAAAAAAAAATTTTAATGTTTATTTTTGAGATTGAGAGAGACAGAGCACGAGCGGGGGAGAGGCAGAGAGTGGGGGAGACACAGAATCTGAAGCAGGCTCCAGGCTCTGAGCTGTCAGCACAGAGCCTGACGCGGGGCTCGAACCCACAAACCGCGAGATTTTGACTTGAGCCTAAACAAGAGTTGCACACTTAACCAACTAAGCCACACGCGCACCCCGGATGCATTACTTTTGATAGAATTTCTTCTTTTCACAAATAAAGATGAGGTTTAAAAATGCAGTAGTATCTGAGAGAGATAACATAAGATATGTAGCTGGCATGCTGCCATAATACAATTTTGTGGAACCCTAGGTTGAGTGAGCTGGGAAAGGGAAATACAAGAGGGGAAATATATATATGAAAGGGACTATGGGATTTTTAAGGATAAAATTCCACGGTAAGTTTACTTAGGCAAGGCAGGAATGTATAATCTCTTTATCCTTCTGGGAGAACGTTCTTCTTTTTGTTTTTAATTTTGTTTTTAATCTTTATTTATTTTTGGGAGAGAGACAGAGTGTGCACAGGGGAGGAGCAGAGAGAGAGGAAGACACAGAATCTGAAGCAGGCTCCAGGCTCTGAGCTGTCAGCACAGAGCCTGATGCGGGGCTCAAACTCACAAACCGTCAGATCATGACCTGAGCCGAAGTTGGACGCTGAACCGATGAGCCACCCAGGCTCCTCGAGAACGTTCTTCTTTGATTAGATTTTTCTCCCAGAACTTTCTCCCTACCACTACCCAATCTGAATTTATTGAAAATGTGATAAATACCAATTATTTTCCGAAACCAGATCTGGTGTAGATAATCTGAAGTTAAAAATGTCAAGTCACCCCAACAGCAAAGACACAATATGTTTCAATGATGTCTTTAGTTAATGAAAAAAAAATGCACATAGATGAGGGGGAAGGCGGTTTGGTGTAGATATTCATTCATGATTATGCTATTTGATATTTAAAAGCTTGGATGTGTTGCCAAAGATGACATAAAAGAACAGCACAGTCCAGAGTGAACCAAAAACAGGGATATGAACGCATCTTTCCAAGAAAGCCTCACCTTAGTGCTCTGTCCATCACACATATTGTAGAAGGGCACTTGCAAACATGGGAGTCATGAAACATTCCAAAGTTATGGCCCATTTCATGGGCCATCGTTCCTGCTACTCTAAGCACATTTTCACTGTGGTCCTAAGGGCAAGAACAGGGAAAACAGGTTTTTAAAATAAATTATCACTCAGGGTATAATTAAATAGTTCCACTAAGTGGGGTAGATCGAATGGTTTCAGCTTCAGATTTTTCACTAATCACCATCTCTCTTTCTCTCCCCACCTTTTCCTCTCCCCTCCTGCCTCTGTCTCTATTTCTGTTTGTTTCTCTCTCTCTCTCTCTCTCTCTCTCTCTCTCTCTCACACACACACACACACACACACACACACAACTTTGGTACTGAATGCCCATTACAGGGCACACTGCTTTCTCCTTATTCTTGTAAATGGGGAATATTTTTAATGAGAAACATTTTTGTGGTTTCCTGCCATGAGAGACAGTAGCAAAAGGTCTTCAAAAATGATAAGGAATCAGAATTGCTTAAACCTGATCTACCTCCTTCCCCTTGGCTTCTTTTTCAATGCCTTCTAATTGACTGAAGGTCTTGGATGTGTTTAGCTAATAGGGATCCAAAAGTGTTTGTTAACCTAGGACTTTAGTACCGTTGGTATCTCTCTCAGTTCTGTTACTGCCAAGCTAGACCTCAGTCAGTTCTAGACTTGCCCCATGGCATGAAGTCCAGCCCATAGGCAACTTCATTACCAGATTTCTGGTTAGAAGTGTTGGACTGGGGGCTCCAGGTTTTTCAAGAGCAATAACACAACACTAGAGAATCACTGAAGGTTGTAATTTCCCACAGGGGAGACAGGAATCTGCCAATGACACCCACGCACAGACTCCTGATTTCCTTATCTACTTCATGTCAAAGAACCAAATAAAGAAATCCAGAAGGCACGGTACAAGGCTGGCAAATAAGGAACACCTGTGTAAGATGGGAAGTCCATATTTACAATTCACGATATTGTATCATCCTGTCAAGAAGAACCAGTAAAGCTTGCTATTTTAATAAGATGGAGTTACTCAAATGGGGACAAAAACAAACCAAAAAAAAAATTGGAAAAAATGTAAATGTGTTTAGACTTTCCAGATTGCCTTATTTGAGGTCCCTTTAAATGCGTGGTGTCTTCCTTTAATTCATTATTCTCTTAACTGAAATGTTTCTTTCCTTTGGAATGACCTCTATTCTCTCTTCCCCCTATCCACCCTTTGAAGTTTATTTTCAAGCAACTTTTCCTGACCACGTGAATCTTCATCAGTAACTCTCTCCTCTGGATTCCTACTGCAGTTTTCAATTCTATTATCATATATTTTAAGTATTGCTTTAAGTAGTCCGATTCCGCTTCCGACTTTATGGTAAACTCTTTCAGGTTAGAAAGTACATATTTTATTTCCTCTGTTCATCTTACAAAGCTTGTCACACACCCAGACTTATAAGATATATTACACACACACACACACACACACACACACACACATATATAATATATATATATTCCACTTCCACCTAGGATGTACAAAGCTGGAAAAAGCATTATTCTTGTACTAACAACAAGGACTAGCCAGATAATGATAATTTTCCTTGACTCTATCCGTCAGTTGTGGTTGCAGAACATCCACAGAACCTGAAAACTAAAAATAGGCCCTCCCAAGGACAGACGGAACTGGCTTGTCTCTAGCAAAGTGTAGAGGAGGAGATGCCAGGGATCCTACAAGTGGGGAAGTTAATTCACTTAACTTCTTAAGTGAATTGTTAAAGGCCTGGGACAGGCCAGTGCCGGAGTATAGAATCCGCGGGACCTCAGAAACAAGGGTGCTTTGCATACACTTAGAGACTCTTCTCCAAGGACCTCCTCTAGGAGCTCAGGGCACACTTTGGGAGCCAGGTAGTAGAACAGAAAGAACTTGTCTTGGTGGAGTAGTCCAGAAGGAGTAAAGTAGCAACTGCTGCAAGAAAAGAGCCTAAAGCCATATCCAGAACCTTCTCCTTTAAGGAATAGAAACCTAAAGCCACTGGGGAAAAAAATAGTAATCTCTGACAACCTAGGGTAGAACGGAAGACCCAACATGGTTAAGGGATGGGTTTAAACACACACACACACACACACACACACACACACACACACACACACATCTTCTACTGCTGAAACAAAAAGACAAAAATCTTGAGCCCAGGATCCTATAGTAATATTCATCGAGATTTTCTCCTACTGAGGGATGGTCAGAAAACTCTTCCTCAAAAGATCTGCAAAAAATAGAAAGCAGAATTTTGCTGCTGTGGGAAGGATGGAAAGAATCCCTAAGAAAGCTTTGCTTCTGACACCCAGGACCTGCCTAAGACCAAAACCAGACAAAGGCAAAGGAGAACCCCCCCCCCCACCTCTGTTCCTTACCACCACATCGTAGAAGTCTGGGGAGAGCATCACTTCGAAACTTACAATCAATAAAAACACTGGACCATCAATTCACAATTTTCTAGAACTCACCCAGAGCTGAGGTCACAAGGCAACAAACAAAATGAAATCTAAGGAAAGGTAGGCTGGCAGCTACAGGGAAAGTCGGGACATGAATATTTGTTTACCTGGAACAGACCAGGTTCCAGCAATAACTCGTATAAAATAATCTTAAAACCCATATAGTTAGAGTGTGTGTGGTACAGCAAGAAAATACACCAAACGTGGGAGCTTCAGACATGGGGGAATTCTCACCTACTCATGGGTTTTTCTCCACACAGACCTCACCACGTGAAAGCTCTGAGAAAGCCTCCCTCATAGTGTGGGCCTGGGGGAGGGGAACAGGAGCATGAAAAGGCATGAAATCACTCGAAGATCATTCTCCTCTCTCTGCTATGGCACAAACGTGACAAGGTCCAGGGTGAAAGGAGCGTGTCACTCGCCTCATTCTAATTCTAGCCCTAAACCACGGGCTTAAGCTTCTGAGAGAAAGAGCAACAAATCCTGCCACCCAGGGCCCTGGTAAAGTCTCAATACAACGATAAAAAAGGAACAGAAAGGAAAATAAAACACGTGGAAAGCTTCTACCCCTGGAAGGAAGGAGAAGGAAGGGCAAGAATACATCCTGGGCTATGTCCATTAGAGGTCGCTACCTCTGGCAGTGGAGCAGGAGCACTAAAAGGACCTACCCCCGACACTATAGGACACAGGACTTACCAAAGACTGAGGTTTAGTAAAGCGAAAGAAAATGCCCTCTGCCCACCAAAATTCTAACAATCATCCAGTAACAAGTAACAACCACCTACCAAAGGGAGAGAGTCTGCAGCATAAAGAAACTCTCTGGGGGATCCAGTAAAGACCTAAAAATGAGTATGAAGCACACACTGAGAAAAACCCTCTGGAAAACCAGCCTTCACCCTCAACATAAAATAATGTGAGAGGAATTTAAAGCCTGTGATGGACTGAGGCTAGTCATAGCAACAACAACAAAAGCCCCAATCCAACTCAACTCCTGCTAGATTGATTCAAACCTTACTCAAGAGGCCTAGAGGAAGGAAAGAAGTGATGATTTCCAGGCAAGGAAAAAATACACATGCACACACACACACACACCCCTCAGATAATGCCTTTCACAGGATGCCTGACTTTCAACAAAAAATAATAAGGCATCCAAAAAAAAAAAAAACAAAAAAGAAAAAAATAAAGAAAAAGGCCTACCTTGCCAATGAACATATCCAGACTCATATCTGACACAGATGTTAGAACTATCAGATGATACTTTAGAATAACTATGGTAAAAGCTCCAGTGGAAAAGATGAATAGCACACAAGTCTGGATGACAAATTTCAACAGACCTGGACACCATAAGAAAGAATCAAATGGAAATGCTAGAAATGAAAAAGACAGTAACTGAAACGAACAATATCTTCAACAGGCTTAACAGTAGATTTGGAATAGTTGAGAAAATAATCACTTGACCTAACAGTTCAACAAAAATTACCCAAATGAAAACACATAGTGCAAAAAAGGATAAAAAAGAAAACAAACAGAAAAACTGAGCATATAAGTTTTCAGGGGCAATATAGAATGGTCATAGATGTAGGAATTTGTATCCCTGGAAGAAAAAAGGAGGAGAATAAAATAGAAGAAATATTTGATGAAGTAACGGCCCAGAATTTTCCATAATTAATCACAGATACAGCCCCAGGCCCAAGAAGTTCAAGGAACACTAAATGTGATATATTACCCATTTCTCCCAAAGTCCACTTAGTTATATCATAATTGTAATCGAACTAAAGAAAATTAAAAAGAAAGGGAAAATCTTGAAGTAGAAAACAAAAAGATACATTTCAGAGCAACAAAGATAAAGTTTACAGCCGACTTCTCATCAGGAACTCTGTAATCCAGCAGACAGTGAAGTGAAATTATTAGAAGTACTGAAAGAAAAAACATTATTAAGCCAGGATTATAAACTCAATGAAAATGTATACAAAAAAGAAAGAGAGATAAAGTCATCTGAAAGCAACTAAAAAATTCATCCACACCACACCTGTGTTATAGGAAATATTTTCAAAAAATCTTTGGGAAGAAATAAAAAATATTATACCAGATAGAAACTCTGCAAAGAAATGGAGAGGGTTGAGAATGAAATAAAGGTGAGTGTAGATAAAGCTAAGATAAACATAATACTCTTTTTATTTTCTTTTATTATGTTTAAATGTTTATTTATTTATTTTGAGAGAGAGAGGTCAGAGAGGGGCCAGAAAGAGAGGGAAAGAGAGAATCCCAAGCAGGCTCCATGCTGTCAACACAGAGCCCAACACAGGGTTCAACTTACAAACCATAAGGACATGACTTGAGCCTGAATCAAGAGTTGGGTTCTTAACCAACTGAGTCACATAGATGCCTCAATTTTTTTCTTACTTTAAACTGTGTTGAAAGATGACTGTCTAAGAAAAATTAGTAACAATATATTGTGTATTTATAGTGTATGTAAAGTTAAACAAATGATAAAAATAGCACAAAACTGGAAGGGAGTAATTAGAGGTGTACTCTTATAACATTCTTATATTACAAGTGATGCAGCTCAGTATTATTTCAACGTAAAACAAACAGAGGTATATAATAAACCAGGGCAACCATTAAAAACAAACAAACAAAGGTAACAGTGAAAAGCTAATAATGGAGATAAAAGAAATTATTTTTTAAAAATCCTCAATCCTAAAGAAGGCATAAAAAATAGACTAGATGGAATATAAAACATCTAGAAAAAAAATTGAAGCTTTTAGTTCAATATCAATAATTATATTACATATAAGTGATTTAAATATAGGAAATAAAAGACAGAGATTGCAAAGTAATACTCCATTGTATTACTATTATACATTATATTATATAATGTATTACATTAATACATTAATACATTTATATATTGTATTACATTATATATGTGTATATATATATTTATATATATATATATACACACACCACATTTTCTTTATCCATTCATGCATCGATGGACATTTGGGCTCTTTCCATACTTTGGCTATTGTTGATAGTGGATGTAAATTTTAAAAAATAAAAAATAAAATTAAAAAAAAAAGACAGAGATTGTCAGGTTAGATAAAAAGTAAAACTCAACTATATGCCAGAAACTTTTATATGTAGAGAAAAATACATGCTAAAAGTAAAAGTAAGGAAAAAGTTGCATCAAGCAAACTTTAGCCACAAAATGTTGGAGTAACTCTAATGATACCAGACAAAGTAGACTTCAGAACAGGAATATGTCAGGAAAAAGAGAGGAACATGAAACAATAATGGATTAATTCTCCAAAAAGACATGACAACTGTTTTTGTGTATTTGCTTAACCATAGAGCTTCAGAATACATGAAGTGAAAATTTGTAGAATTGAAAGAAGAAATAGACAAATCTACAATTATATTTGGATACTTAACCACTCTCTATAAACTATTCAAAAGAACTGAACACTGTAAGTTAACTTGACATGGTTGCCAGTTATAGAATGCTCCATTCAATAACAGCAGAAGGTAATCTTTTTCAAGTTCATATGCAGTACTGACCAAGAACAAACCTCAAAAAATTTTAAAATATTAACATTCTACGAGGTATGTTCCAGATTATTAGGAACTGAATTGTGCCCACCCCCCCCACTCCAATTCGTATATCGAAATCTTAACCCCCAACATGACCGTATTTGGAGATAGGGCCTCTAAGGTTAAATGAGAATATAAGTTAGGATGGGGCCCTAATCCAACATGACTGAAGAGGAAGGGATGTGTGCAAAGAGGAAAGGTCATGTGAGGGCACAGCAAGAAGGTAGTCATCTGCAAACCAAAGCAGGAGACCTCAGGAGAAACCAAAGTTACCAATACCTGGATATTGGATTTTTAGCCTCCAGAACTCTGAGAAAATACATTTCTGTTGTTTCAGCCATACAGTCTGGGGTATTTTGTTATGGAAGCCCTAGCAAATGAATACTCAGATCATAATATAATGAAACTAAAAGAAAATCATAATAGAAATCATTATAGTATACTTCTAAACAATACATTAGTCAAAAAGGAGATCCAAAAAGGAATTAGAAAATATTTTTAACTGAATGAAAATAAAAACACACATATCCAAATATCACAGATGCAGTCAAGCAGTGCATGGTAGGGAATTTATGCAGTAAATGTTTATATCTGAAAAAGAGAGAAGCCTCAAATGAATAATCTAAAAATGTTCCTTAAGTAATAGAAAAGAATAGCAAATTAATGCAGAGAAAGCAAAAGAAATTCAATAATCAAGAGCAGAAATCGATGAAACTGAAGGGAAGAAAACCGTAGAGAACGTCGATAAAGCAAAAGCTCTTTCTCTGAAATCAATAAAATTAATAAGTCCTCAGTAAGATCATAAGAAAAAGACATAAGTTGCTAATATCATCTGAGAAAAGATAAATAACCTGAATACTTCTGTTATCTATGGAAGAAATTGTATTCATAGTTAAAAACAGAAAGAAATGCCAGACCCATATAGTTTTACTGATGAATTGTACCAAACATTTTAGGAAGGAGTAATACCAATTTTACTAAAACATTCCATAAAATTGAAACGTTGGGAACACATCATTTTATGTGGCCAGATTTACCCGATATTTGTTCTAATAACACAACATGAAAAACACATAACAGGAAAAGACAACTACAGACTAGTATCCCTCAGGATTAAACAGAATATAGAAATCCTCAAGATATGTTAGTGTGTTGAATCCAGCAATATATAAAAAAGATAATACGTTATGGCAATGATGTGTTTATATTTGATATGCAAGACTGTTTCAACATTTGAAGTTCAATCCATGTTATTTGCCATAGCAACAAAAAAACCCTACATGATTCAGAAAAAAAGAGCATTTGACAGACTTGAACTGCAGAAACAACTATTTATCTTCAAACAAACCTGAACAATGCCAACAGAATGATAAGGAGAGCACATTGTAGACATGAAGGCAAGGCCCACGGTTGTTCCAGAAAGTTCTGTTGCTCTGAAAGAAAGAAAATAATTGATATAACAACTTATGATTCTAAATGATATTTTCTATAGACAACTCATCCAGGACTCTAAATGGTTAACAGAGAAACTCACATCGTAAATAATAACTCTTAAATATTTCCTTCAGTTTTTGAATTTGCATTAGGCATTTATTTTAATGTGCAATGGTTGTTATATCAACTAAATATAAGCACCCGGATATAATCACCGGATATAATCATTTTTAATATTTTATATCTCTCATTCATTATTTTATATTTTTTGTTGTGGAATTCATCTCTTGCCAGGAAGTAAATAAACAGGAATGTTTTTGTCCATATATATATATATATATATATATATATATATATATGTAATTTGAATATTAATATTTTCACATATGCTTTGTTTTAATTTATATTTTCTCTCATATATTTTTATATCATTTACTTTTGTTTACTTTAGCACTGTTTTAAGCTATAGTGGGATTTGGAATTTGGGCCCACTGAATGTATTTGCGTTACGAAGCATTTATGTTATTGAAATATTTGTTAAAAGGAATTTGAGCCACTTACATTTATTTGCATAGACTATTGGTTTGGTTTTAGTAATGTTAATTTCTTTTTTTAGTCTTCTTCATTTTTTTTCTTTCCATTTGCAATGATTCTATGTGCTGCCTTTGTTATTATCTGTGATCTGATCAAGATCCTGACCCTGGGTTGCCTCTAGTAATTTTCAAAGAATGCATTACTTAAAAAATGCCCTTAGTAGATGCATTTACATAAAAAGTTGAACTTATATTTTCCCACTTATCATAATCAAAAATGGAGAGTACTGATTTTGCCATGCAAAATAAGGAAAATTAGAGAACTTCGTCCCACTTTATACTTTCTTTGGACAATTTTCAGATATCTATTATTTTGAAATGATATTTTACATTATACCTGATATTTTAAAGATTTGCAGTATTTATATCCTCTTTAAAAATTATGTTATAAAATTACTTATACTTCACTGGGTGTTGTATGGAAACCAATTTGACAATAAATTTCATATTAAAAAAATTACTTATACTTAAGTCTGCATTTGTGTGGGTTCAATTCTCACTACCAGCTCATTTTTTTTTTCAACTTTTTTTTTTTTTTTTTTTTTTTTTTTTTTTTTTTTTTTTTTAATTTTTGGGGCAGAGAGAGACAGAGCATGAACGGGGAAGGGGCAGAGAGAGAGGGAGACACAGAATGGGAAGCAGGCTCCAGGCTCTGAGCCATCAGCCCAGAGCCCGACGCGGGGCTCGAACTCACGGACCGCGAGATCGTGACCTGGCTGAAGTCGGACGCTTAACCGACTGCGCCACCCAGGCGCCCCTCCAGCTCATTTATAATAAATAAATCTTCCCCCGTTATGGAGTTAGCTATTTACTCTTTTTAGTGGATAGATTATAGCTGTACCACAAAGTTCTTACCTTGTTATGCCTAGGTATAGACACAACCTTTTGTTAATTTATTAGGTAATTTTTTTTTCTTTTAAAAAAAATTTTTTTTAATGTTTATTCATTTTTGAAAGACAGAGAAAGACAGAGCACAAGCAGGGGTGGGGCAGAGAGAGGGGGAGGACACAGAATCTGAAACAGGCTCCAGGCTCTGAGCGGTCAGCACAGAGACCGATGCGGGGGTTGAACCCACAAACCGCGAGATCATGATCTGAGCCGAAGTGGGACGCTTAACCCACTGAGCCACCCAGGCACCCCGATTTGGTAAATTTTTGAATGAAAGTGCAATTATTTCTTTCCACCATATCTTTTTAGTACTTTTATCCTGTTTATTCCAGTCTAGTCAGGAAATCTACTCTTCCCGTTGGCTTGTCATTTTTTATCTATGCATTTGTCATCTTGTCTGTGATTTTTATCTCTCTACCCTATTGGTTCAAAGTATGGGAATTTACTATAATTTGAGCATGGCCCTGGAGGCAGTCTGGTAAGAGTTGAATTACCTTACTACTTATGAGTCCTTGAAAAAAAATACTAACTTTCTCCAAACAAAATGAGCTCACCCTGCGGTGAACCCTTGAAAATTTAAGGAACTCACCTTTCAAAATTAAGGAACTATGGCAGCTATTCTTCAGATATAACCCCCAATGAGCTAGGCTTGCAGTATTCCTATCCTGTGTAGTACCTTCCCTTGAATATGGGTAGATCTACAACTTGCTCTTGGCCAACAGAATATACCAGAAGTGACGCTGTAATTTCTGAGGTTTGCTCATGAAAAGACTTGAGGCTTTCTCTTGGTCCTCTTACAATGCTTCTTCTGGGTGAAAACTAATCACCTTGTAAGATGTCCAGACCCCTGAGGCTGCCATGCTGGAGGCAGTCCAAGTTAGCCACTTGAAAGTTATATAGACAGAGATGACCAACCAGCCCCTTTGCTCCAGCCCTACCAGGCAAGGAACCAGACATGCAAGTCAAGAAGACTTATTTTAAGTCAGGGAGTTGTGGGTTGATGTGTCGTGTGTAGAAAATAACCAATTCAGAATATTAATTAATTCTGACAGGACCTAGTCCTCTTATGTGCTATGACACCTACTGTTTTCTTAGGAAGTAACTCTTGAATAATTTTCAATTATTCATTGCTGTTTCCTTCTATCTGATTCCAGCTGCAAACTATTCCAGGCATCTTCATATGCCTCAAAAGAAAGTTCTCGATTTCTTTTGAGGCATATGCTCAGCAGTTTTGTGTTAATTTATAGTCACTAGATTTATTTCTCCTCCTTGCCCCTGTTTTTGATTAGTCACTTCAGCAGTATGGTAGAAAGGTGTGGGATTAGAATATGATACGCAGTTTTCTTTATATCTTAGAAGTTTGTCCTCACTAATACTTAAAGCTAGTCAGGACTTTTAAAACACTGAATTGAAACTTCTCTTGCCATTATCTAAACCTGTCTTTCCTTTCTGTATACCCAATCAAAACAGACTTCTGATGAATCATTTTTAAATTGTTAGCTTTTCTTTAAAAAAGAAAAAAAGAAACACTTATAACAGAAGTTAGGGCATATTCCACATAAGATTCGATCTAATACTTTTTAAACTTTTATCCCCTTTGTGTAAGCCACTTCCTCTTACCCTCTACCCCAAGAAACCACCTGCTTTGCCCAGGCTTTGGAAACTTTCTACGCTAAATACCATTTAACACACAAAAGGGAAAAACTCTACATACGTGATTAACTGAGCGATATCATGACGTTTTCTTCTTGGGAGGACACTTCCCCTCCATTTAGAAAAGTTTTCCAAGGTGAAGCTTGCATTTGGGGTTATCTTTATTTTATCCTTGTCATTCCAGATTTCCATACCGACTAAGGCCACATGAGTATTTAGCTTTTTATAAAGCTGTCCAAAGAGAATACATGTCAAAGGAATGACATAGGTGGTAATGTTATCTTTCAATATTTTCAATGTTTTCAATATTTTCAATATTTTCAATATTTTCAAACCTATTTCTCCCAGCACGGTAAAAACTTTCTTTCCAAACATACTTGTGAAATGGAAGTTACCACCTCTTTTCACGGATGCTAGCACCCCCATACTCAGGCAAGGCAGACACCCTTAGGTATTTCAGGTCTGGAGACTGCTGTTTTTCAGAGCAAAAGTCCTATTAAAATAAACTTCTCTTGCTTGCCACCTTAAGGCAGATTGTAATTTTCAGTTAGTAGTTCACTACTATGACTTCAGTGTAAGTGTAATGACTCAAATGCTTTGCATTGTTCCCTGAGTCAGAACATTCCAGAATTAGCAAGGTTGACTCAGTGCTGGTTTGGACATTGGAAAAAGAGCGTGCTATATGAAAAAGTTCTGCACCCGTGAGTCGCAATGAAGTGGTCCTCTGATTCTTAAACCTGGAATGAGCCAAATAACCAATGATGCATACAGGGTAACTTTTAGAAATAATCAATTAACCTTATAAGACAATATGCTGACTCTCAAAAGTTTAAGTTGCTACTATAGCTGATGTAACTGCACAGTGTTGGTAAGAGTACAAACTTCCAGTTATAAGATGAACATGCTCTGGAGATCTAACGTACAGCTTGGTACTTATAGTTAATAATACCATATTATATACTTTAACATTGGTGACAGTAATTCGTAAATGTTCTCACCGCAGAAAAGCAATGGTAATTATATGACGCTAACCTATGGTGGAAATCATGTTGCAGTGTTATGAGTATATCAAACCAACATACTGAACAGCTAAACCCACACAATGTGCTATGCCAATTATATCTCAATAAAGCTGGGGGAGAAAAAAAAAAAACCCATGGTGACAGGCTTCCTCATGGGTCAACTTTGTGCTGAGAAACCTGAAGAAATGTTTTTAAGTCGTTTGGAAAATAATAAAAGCATTGAGGAATGCAGTAACCATCAAAAGAAAAGTCAAAATCTGGGGTGCCTGGGTGGCTCAGTTGGTGAAACTTCCGACTTCGGCTCAGGTCATGATCTCGAGGTTCATGGGTTCGAGCCCCGTGTCAGGCTTTGCTGACAGCTCAGAGCCTGGAGCCCGCTTCGGATTCTGTGTCTCCCTGTCTCTCCGTCCCTCCCTTCTTGCGCTCTGCCTTCCTCTCAAAAAGGAATAAACATTAACAAAATTGTTTTTTAAGTATTGAAACCTCACTTTGAGCAGATGCCCTTGCTTCCAAACTCAGAGTAAAGAGGCAATCAGAAGAGAACTTTGACTGGCTCCCACCACTGTCTACCTACTGAGCTAAACCTCTTCCAACAACCTGTGCTCACCTTCTTTACTCTACAGAGGAATGCTCGTGTGAGCCGAAGGCCAGCTTCTCTACTCATGCGCTAGGCCTCCAATCCCTCCCCAGATCAAGGAGATGATTCCACAATTCTTCCAACCTCCTTGCATTGTCTCTGCTTAGCCTTCCACGGACCCGTTCCCATCAGCATAAAAAGAATGACCCATCACAGTGGGGAGGATCTCTTTACGACCCTTCCCCCCTGTCACTTACGCACCATTTCTCTGCTTCTATTTATAGCGAAATTTTTGAAGAGAATTTTCTGTATCTGCTGTCTCTAATTCCACTTCCTAATCTGTTGGGCTCACTCTAATCGTGCCCGTACTCTAACGCTCCACAGAATTGTGCTTCATCCAGGCGACTGGTAACTTCTACGCTATTAAATCCGATGGCCAATCCTCAGTCCTCAGAAGCATCTAACGTCATTGATCATTTCTTCCTTTGATGGGTTTTTGTCTCAAGCGGCTTCCAGAACAACACTGTCCCCTGGTTTTCCTTGAAGCTCTTTGTCTCCTCTTTCCTGGTCTCTATCGGTTTCTCCTGTACTCTGACCTCTCCTCAAAGAAGCACTTCAAGGACCTGTTCTTAGGTCTCTTTTCTACTTATCTACACCATTCCTTTGGTTATCTTACACCAAGGTTGGCAAGCTTATTCCTTAAAGGTCCGGATAGAGACTGCTTCAGGCTTTGAAGCTGCGTGGTCTCTGTTGTAACTCTTCCTCACCACTGGCACTGTGGAAGGAAAGCAGCCACAGATAACGCATAAACAAATGGTGTGGCCATGTTTCAATAAAACTGTTTTATAAAAAGGCAGCATGCCAGATATGGCCCACAGGCTACAGTTCGCTGACCCACGTCTTATGCCATTCTGAGCATTGAGGGGCACCTGGGTGGCTCAGTCATTTCAGTGTCCGACTCTTGATTTTGGCTCAGGTCATATCCTCACGGTTCATGAGTTCAAGCCCTGCATCAGGCTCTTCACTGACCGTACGGAGCCTGCTTGGGATTCTCTCTCTCTCCCTCTTTCTCTGCCCCTCCCCTGCTCATGCAAGTTCTCTCTCTCTCTCTCTCTCTCTCAAAATAAATAAATAAACTTGAAAAAAAAGACTTTTGGATTTATCTCTCCACCCAGACTTCAAAACTTCAAACAATCTTGTATTTCTAGCATTTTTACCTGGATATCTTTTTTTCTTTTTTCACCCACGAATCTTCTCTTTAATCCTTAATGATCCATTGGCACATACATACAATGATATAATGTGGCACCTAGTAGGTTCTAGACACGTGGGAGTCATTGTCAATATGGACATGTCTACCCCTGATCTCAGGGAAATTTCCTAGCATTTTCTCCGATTTTTGAAATGTAGGGTCTCCAATATTTTCATTTTTAAATATAAAAATGTAACACGAAACATGAACGTATTTTTAAAAAGTACTCAGTCATAGAACAGTTAATAAAAAGTGGCAACCCACTGCCCATTGTCACCTCCGCTAAGAAACAATAATATTTTTGCCAATCCAACTGACCTATGACATTATATTTATTTTAGGTATACAGCACAATGATGTCCCCCTGGAAATCTTTATACAAAAAGATATCTCAAAATGAATGTGTACAAAATGGAAATGCTAATCGTTCCTCTGAGTCACTATTGCCAATACGTTACCCATTCTTCAAATTGCTCAGGTCAAGATCCTCGATGTCACCTCATCTTTTCCTTTTCTTACACGTCTCATCTCTCATCTACCTCATATACTCTGTTGACTGTATTCAGAGACCAGCTAGTCTCAATAGATCCACCATCACTGCTTTTTCTCAAACCACCATCATCTCTTGCCTTGAATTAGGGAACAATCCCCTATCGGGTCTTATTTCTGCCAATTGCTTTCCTTCAGTTCATTTTCAATGCGGTGGCCAAGGTGATTTTTTTAAGGACACACATCAGAACATGTCACACCTCAGCTCAGTCCCCCAATGTCTTCCTCACCCATGCAGCATAGCAAAGTCCTTACATAGGTCTACAAGGACCTGCAGTTTCCAGCCACCGCTGCCTGTCATGTGTCATCTGCTCCCACCCTTTCCATGGCTTACCGCATACAGCCACAATGGCCCTCCCACTGTTCCTCAAATAGGACAATCTGGGTTCTGTCCTCAGAACCTCACTCTGCCTTGCACACCCTCCCTTAGGGTCAGATGCTTCTCTCCTTTCCTTTCCATACTCAAATGTCACCTTGGACATCTTGGACTTAGGCTTCCCTATTTAACACAGCACCCAAGAGGAACCTGCCTCTCTCTCTCTCTCTCTCTCTCTCTCTCTCTCTCTCTCTATCTCTCTCTTTTTTTTATCCTGCTTTACTTTTTTATAGCATTTATAATCACTATCCTACCTACTCTTTATTTGGTATTTTTATGCTTGTCTTGGACAAGAATGTAAACTCCCTTGAAGGGAGGGATATTTGTCAGTTTTGTTCCCCACTTTATTTCTGTCATCAAAAAGTTCCTGTCACAAAGGAGATGCTCAGTGGGGCGCCGGGGTGGCTCAGTCGGTTGAGCGACCGACTTCGGCTCAGGTCACGATCTCGCGGTTCGTGAGTTCGAGCCCCGCGTCGGGTTCTGTGCTGACAGCTCAGAGCCTGAAGCCTGCCTCGGATTCTGTGTCTCTCCGTCTCTCGGCCCCTTCCCTGCTCATGCTCTGTGTCTCTCTGTCTCTCAATAACAGATAAATGTTTAAAAACAAATTTACAAAGGAGATGCTCAGTAAATATGGCCAATTCTTGGGGTTCTTTGGGAGAAGTCTTTGTGGTGAGAAGACGAGACCCAGATGATGTTGGTCATTGAATCCACTTTCATTTTTTCCTCTATCCTTAGAGAACTTGCAGGCTGCCACAAAGTGACTCACCCATCTAAGGAGGCAGACTAACTAGATGTTTAACTAACAAGACGCTAACAATTAAGATTTAAACAGAAGGGATACAGAAATCATTTTTTAAAGATTTTGTGGATTAGATGATAAAATCATGTTTACAGACCAAGATCAACATCTTTCCAATCGAAATGGACTCGGAAATCCAACCAATCTAAGTTCAAATCTTATGTCTACCATTTCCTAACTTTGTGATTTTAGGCAAGCTCCTTTGCTTCCCAGGATTTAATTCTTTAGCTATAATATTAAGGCTTAGAAATATCTCAGAGTTGTGTTGAGGATTAAATGAAATAACTCTGTGCCAGCGTTCAGCTGATTTTGTTTGTTTTTCCATGTTCTTCCATAGATTTGGATTTCTGCTGGGATTTGCTGGTCAGTGATGTCTCCCCAGGCTTTAGAAAAACAAAAACAATTCAAACAAAATCATCTCTTATAGGTTCTTCAACCTGAGAACAGTGTGGCAAGTAGGTGAGAAATATCTCTATCATGTAATATTAATATTCAATTAAGTAGCAAAAGTTCAAGAGCCAATCAAGCATTGTTAGTCAGGAGTGGTGACTTTCTTTCCCTGCTTCAAGAGCATTCGTAGAAAAACCCAATGGCACCGCCTCACAAATTGTTGAAATTGCACTTAATAAAATATACCGTACCATATTGACATAATTGGCCATTTCAAACACCCTCTTTCTTATTTCCTCTGGATCTTGATTGTGCTTTTTAAACTACAAACAAGAAATGAGACAAGATATGGGCATTGATAGAAATGAATATCATTGGAAGTGAAAAAAGACAACTTCAGGTTATTTTGCTTATCAGTGGTTATAATGAACAAACAGTTATGAAAGTTAACAGTTAAAAGATGAAAAATGCTTCCTTACTGCTTTAGCTAAATTAAAGCACTTTTGGAGTAGAGATGATGTTTTACGCCTTCAGTAGGAGCTCAGTATAAGTCTCTATGGAATTATCCCAAATGTATTTCCACTTAAATACCATGGTTTCATAAGCTGTGCAGATTCAGTGCAAGGAATATGTTATTCATTAAAAATATATATATGAATGGTAAATGGTAAATGAATTTAGTAGAATTAGAGGCCAAGCTTTATGACTTAAACAAATTAACTTAGATTATCATAGCATAAAACTTCTCCTTGTGGGAGCATACATGTGAACCTTAGATTTCCAATATATGAAAATGAATTCTTGCAAAAGAATATGAACAATGAATATTACCCCCCAAAAGTGCCTTTTTTCAGAAGATTCCATTCATGAGTCCTATGCATTTACCACTTTCTGATGAGCATATATTCTAACTTGCCAATGATTTAACCGCTTAATGAAAGACAAAATAACAAAGGAACTTAATTGGAAGCTCAGTTTGGAGACAAAAAGAAAGGATAAAGTGCAAAAAATTCACTTTATACATATCATATCAGGTGTACCTTCCTGAAAAGGAGAAGTCATTAACACTCTAATTAAATGTCAAATTTCCTAGGGTCAGAACAATTCAAAAAAAGGAATAGCTCATATTCATGATTTTTGAAAACTGATCCATATATTTAATATTTCACACAATAAATTGATATAGGAGATTTGAAAAGACATAGGTATCTGGTATAATTACCTCACCATTATCCAGGACCAAATAAAACTCTATGTATTTCTTACGTTCCCGACCCTTCCGGTCTTTTGATTTCTATAATAAATATAAAAAGGAAAATTACTGAGACAACATCATTCTCCGCAAAAGTCATTCTTTTCTTTGAAATGTGTAATTTTCTAAGAGATGGGTTGGTATCTGTCAAGAAAGCCAACATTATCATTTGAACTCTAACCAACCAGAATTAACTATGATGAGAGGCTCAGAATACCAGAACTAGCAGGGATATCGGTGATATTCTAGTCTGACCCCTTCATTTTGTCAGAATTTAAATGATTGCACAACTAACTAATAAGTGCGCTGGAACTAAAACCAAAGTCTTTGGATTTTTTTGAACCATGGACTCTTACCACTCTCCTGCCCTGAAATAGAGAGACTCTGACTTCCGCAACCTCCCAGTGTTTTCTTCTTGTAGTTTTTGTTTTTAAGTAGCCTTTCATTCCTCTCCCAGTGAATACCTCCTTCCTTAGCAATGGTGCAATGTCCAGAGCTACCATGGCACCTAGTCTGCTCTTTTATTTTTATTCTTTAAATGTTTATTTTTGAGAGAGAGAGAGAGAGAGAGAGGAGGGGCGGGGCGGGGGGGAGCGGGGGAACAAAATCTGAAGCAGGCTCCAGGCTCTGAGCTGTCAGCACAGAGCCTGATGCAGGGCGGGGCTTGAACTCCTGAATCAGGAGATCATGATCTGAGCAGAAATTGGACGCTCAACCAACTGAGCCACCCAGGTGCCCCTCTGCTTGTTTCTCCTTAGGCAGGACTAGATCTCTTTCCCACATTCCAAGCTTCCCTATTTTCTGTTCCCTTTTCTCCACTAAACCACGACAGCAAAAGACACATTTCATAGTGGATTGTGCCACTGACAAGTAGCAGATACATTATTCGTACTAACTGATAAACTATCAAAGTTTATCATGTTGCATTTCAGGAAGTGCTTGTCTTTTAACAGGTAAATAAACTTCCATGAGCAAGACTTCTAGGGGTCATCTAGTGAGCTATGCACTTCCCTCCCACCCTCCACAGGAGCAGCACATTCATTTAGCACCTAACCCCACCACCAGTGCTGGGGGCACCATGCATAAGGCAGTGAACCAGACATGGCCCATGGGCTTAGGGAGCTCCAGGTAGACAAACAGGCATAGGGCTATCAGGTGGTGACCTTAGCATTACTCGAAGGAATAAATGGAGTGATGGAATATTGAGTGACAAAGGAGTTATTTCAGAATATATGGTTAGTTCTGAAGACTTAGTCATGCAGCAGACATTATTAATGAAAATGAGAAACCAGGAAAGGGAAGACACATTGGAAGATAATTCCAGCTGAGGAAAAAAAAAAAGTGAACAAGACTCTAAAGTGAATTGATATTGGCATGTTGAAAGCACAGAGAAAACAGGTTGTGTTTGTCAGAACATAATGGGGGAGGTCATCGGTGGGTGGGGAGCAGACGGTAGGTGAGGTTACGGAGGGTAGCGGGTCCCTAACCATTTGGGGTTTGTAACTCCTGTAACCCTCTCCTCTGTTTGACCACTAAGTATTAGAGGCTGTCATTAAAGCTCAACCCTTTGCTTTATCCAGGCAATCTTCCTAGGGAATCACAATGTTATACTATATTCTACTGCCATGAGCTTGAAATTATGTGGCATCGGTAGCTTTTTATGTGTTCTGCCTTATTTAAATAGGAACCCTGCACTAATTACTATCAAACGTATATCTCCAGTCTTGGCCTCTTCTCTAAAGGCCAGACTCTTATAATTAACTGCTTACTTCATGCATCCATTGAAATGTCCGATACCACAAACTTAGCGTGGTCAAAATTACAACCACCGATTCCCAAACTGCAAACAAAACCTGCTTCTCCCTCATTCTCCCACCTCAGTTAACAGTACTCCCATTCATCATTTGCTCAGGCCAAAACCTGGAAATAATCCTTGAGTCTTCGTCTCTAGGAGTGGTTCCTCTGGGTTCCTAGATACCATATCACGGGTAGAATTTAAACCCACAGCAAAGTGAACTCAAATCAAACCCAGCGGATTGAGATTTTCTTTTATTCAGACCACCTCTGCCCCGTGCTTAATGGATTCTGGAAACAGAAGAAATGATTAGATACAGTGTCTCCGGAAGGAAAGGAGAGTAATTATGGCAATGACCTTTTAGATCCACCTGTGGCTTCAAACAAGCCATATTCACTTTTCTTCTGTGACCGGAAGATGAATTCATGTATGTAAGAATTCATGTATGTAATTCTAAATTCCTCTGGACACATCCTGTGTTTATTTTTGCTCACTGCTACATCCCCAGCACCCATGGCAGCACTCCAAGAAAGAAATCTGTTCAATGAGTTCATTCATGAAGACGGCAGGATATTTAACATCAAAGTAATGCTTTAGACCTTTGTCGTGTGTTGTAGCATCGGCGAAGTTGCCTTTTTCTAGAGGGCAAGCATCATATTTACACTTCATTTTAACCTTACGCATCGATAGGTTTTAACCTTACGCATTTTAACCTTGCGCATAATAGTCGATCCGTAAATACTTATTAAATAAATCATCAATGTACAACAAGATGTTAGTGTCTCTAGAGACTACCATAGGGCTACTAGTTCGACAATGACTATCGAGTTTCCATTAATCGCAACTACTGAGACCGGAAGACGGGGCAACCAGGACGAGATACATGCGAGCGCTGCAAATAAAAAATAAAAGTATGCATACCACCAGACTGGTGGCGGGTGGAACCACATTCTGCCGAGATCCGTGTACCCACAATATGTCATCCGTCCCGCAGGTGCTGTTAGCCTTCTTTTCCTCAGGATCATACTTGAAGAGTGCATGCTCCTGTGCATCCTGATTTGTGGGGCTTAAAGGTTCAATGAAGTACCTTTGATCTCCCTGACTGAAGTAGCCCCTGGAAGACATGAGAACCCAGGCTTCTTAAAAAATATTCCTGCGTTTGAAAGCCCTGCAGACGTAGAGATCTCAAAAAGTTACCAGTGCCGTATAATTTCAAGCTCACGGCCACGGAAAATAGGGTAACACTGCAGCTGAAGGTACACTTAAGACCTCGACTTATTTTTTCTATGAGGAAATGGGGCCCGTTGGAGAGAAGCGACTACTGTGATGTCACATAGCTCACCTGTTGTGTCAGGGCTGACACTAGAATGGAAATTTCCTGATTCTCACCCAGTGTTCTTCCAATTCTCAAGCCTTGTCTGCATTAAAGGTGCCTGCAAAGGAAGACTTTGGAGTCCTAGAAATAAGGATTAAAAATCTGGGTCTATAACTTTTTAGCTCTGATTCCATGGGAAAAGTACCTAGACCCACACAGCCTCAGTTTCTCCTTTTATAAAATGAGAATAGTACCTACCTATTAGAATGATTGTAAGGATTGAAGGACATAATATATAAAGCACTTGAACAACAAATATTATCAATCTCTTATCAATTATCCCTGCTGGAGCCCCAAGCTAAGATTCATTTCACCAATATTTAGGGCTTTCCCATTATTCATTAGTCATTGGATTAAGGGCAGACAGTAAGAAAGAAAAGAGTTGTGGTTTCTCCTCCTGTGGAGCTTATAGTCAAACAAGGAAGATGGATGTGGATCAAAGAGTCACATGTAACCCACAAGTACATATATTATATGTAATATTCATAATTACAGATAATTGCTATGAAGAAAAACCATAAGAATATATAGCAAGAGACTGGATTAAGTGTACATTGAATTAGGAGACAAGACTGGATGTGAAGAGAGAAGTAGATGGTTTGTTGCAATGATCTGCATAAAGGATCATGCTACCTTGGACTAGGATGTGGCAGTGAGTGAGAATGTATTGAATAATCTCAGTGAACATTTAGAACATATAATCAATGGGGCTTGATAATGGATTGAAAGTGGGTAGTTGAGAGGCAAGAAATCATCAAGGAACCTAGGTTTCTGGATTGGGCAAGAAGTTGGTTGATTATACCATTCACTGGCATAGGGACCACTGGAAAAACACCAGATTTGGGAGGAAATCGTTAGTTTGATTTGGGGTTCATCAGGATTGAGATTTCATTAAGCTATCCAGATATGGAAGAGAGGTGGAGATATGGAAGACAAAATTAGATAATCAAGTCTGGGCATCAGAAGAAATATCTCACTGTAGACAGATGCCTACAGAAGGAAATGATGTCATAGGCTTGGATAGGACAAGCTGAAGAGGGAATTTAGAGTAAAGAGAGAAGGTGGAGAGGAACTCCTGTTTCCTAAAGATTCGAGCTCAAAAAAAAAAAAAAAAAAAAAAAAAAAAAAAAACCCTGTATTTTGAAAAAAGCAGACAAACACACTTCTGCAAGTAATTCAAATGTGTAATTTACACACCACTATCAAGAGACCTGTTTCCAAACTGAGGGTTGATGGGGGGTGGGAGGGAGGGGGGGGGTGACGGGTATTGAGGAGGGCACCTTTTGGGATGAGCACTGGGTGTTGCATGGAAACCAGTTTGACAATAAATTTCATATATTGAAAAAATAAATAAATAAAAATTTAAAAAAAGAGACCTGTTTCCTTCAAATTTCAAAATTCTTGAGCCCTTAGGATTCATACTTAACTATAATATAATTCATTATATTTGAGATTCTTCAGCTTTATTAAAACACACACACTCACCCATCACCGCAGATATACGCAAACCATTCTTGAAGCCTTACCTTAGGCCCCTACACGTGCTGATGCTAGCATCAGAAACTTTTTCATTAATGACATGTCCTTGGTAATAACAGTCATCCTAAACAAGAAAAAAAAAGAGTTTTGTAAAGGAAAGTGTGTGTGTTCTTAGATCCACTCCTAAATCTGAATTTGAAATCTGGCAACAAGATCTATAACATTTTCAAGTCCTTTTATGCTGAACAGCAGTCAACTTAGAGATACAAAAAAAAAAAAAATGGTTAAGAAGCTTTTTATGGTTAAAACCTTTAATATTTAGTTAATTAGCCCAATGCTTAAGGAACATTTGTTAAATGTTGGTGTAAATATGAGTCTTGCAGAAAAAAGGGTAAGAGGGGTGAATTCAGTCTGGAAGAAACAACATGCAGATGAAAATTGAAAACCCAAGTCCCCAAAACATCAATATTCTTTCCCTGGGCTGATTGCTCATTAATTATTTTTTCTGACACCTACAAGCTCTTTCCAATGAATAGGTTTTCCAGATCATGTTGTCGTTTCTTGATGCAATCAAAAAGTTTCAGCAGATTAACTGGATTAGTATGACATCTCTGCTTCCATTTGGAGAAAAATGCCCAACTGTAGCACTTTTTCCATATGGATGTAATTTAATCAAGCACACCTTTCTGCTTTGGGACCGATGAGTATTGACCCACATAAATGTCTGTGCCATCACTATGAGGAGAATGAGTGAAAGCCTTCCAAAAGTAAAATGGAGCTCAGAAAAGATGGAAACGATAAAATACCCCTCACACTACTTAACACAGTTGCCTTCTCTAAATAGGAGTTAAGAGTAAAAAAAGTATTTACAAAAAACCAGAATTCTACAATTCTGTCATTGAGGAAATAGTCTTGAGATCAAGAGACTATACAATCCAGTGAGGTGATTGGCATTGACTAAAATCATGAGATGTAGGGGCGCCTGCGTACCTCAGTTGGTCGAGTGTCAGACTCTTGATTTTGGCTCAGGCCATGATCCCAGGGTTGTGGGATCAAGCCCTATGTTGGGCTCGGCACTGAGTATGGAGCCTGCTTGGGATTCCCTTTCTCTCCCTCTGCCCCTACCCCCTGCTTTCTCTCTCTCTCTCTCAAAAGAAAGAAAGAAAGAAAGAAAGAAAGAAAGAAAGAAAGAAAAGAAAAGAAATGGAAAAAAAAAAAGACACAAGACGTATTCAATTT